CTCTTAACCATGAGATGGTGACAGACGGGGAAACTGAGGCACCCCCCCAGTCTTCCTGCCTCAGCTTCCTAAGTGCTAGGATGACAGATGGGTACCATCACACCTGCTTTTATTGCTGCTATATTACTTAAGAGCTCTATCTGGAAAGATTACGTTATCTGGGATGGTTAACTTATTAAAACTTAATCTGAAAAAAAAAAACAAAAATTATTAAAATTGCAAGAAATTATAATGAGACCCTAGTAGCATTCCCACACCAGGGACAGTGGTTTTGGTGTCCCCCTTCGGGGTAATCCAGTGCAGTATCTTTGTTTATGTTTCCAAAACCTGGCTGAATCTCTACCTGGCTCCCTTTCTCTTGCACACACACACACACACATCACCATGATAACAACTTGGCAGAGACTCCAGGCCAGGTTTCAACGCACACCACCAACTGTAGGTCACCCTAGGTGGAGATGTCTGTATCAGCTCTACGCCACACCAAGGACCACACACAACATTGTCTTCTGCAAAACTCCGAAGCCTTAACCTCAAAGACACCTTGGGAGCGAATGCTGCCAGTAATAACAGGCCACCAGGAGCACGTGCCCCCTTTCCTGGCCAGGGTGCCGCCTTGACAGATGCCAGACTTAGCATCGCTAGAGATGAGCCCATTATGGGCTTGGAAAGCTGCTGTCACTTCTGACTGCCTCTTCTCCCAGCCAAAAAAATAATCGCATGGTACTCAGGGAGGTGCCAAATGTGTGGAAATATGGGCCTCTTCCCTGCTGCACACAAACACTAATGTCCCTATCCCCAGCGGAAGCCACGGCTGCTGTCCAAACACACCATCCCTTTAAGGCCTATTTGGTGCTAAGTAAAAATTGCTCCCCGTCGCTAGGTGAATGAGAACCTCTGCGTGTGCGGCGGCCCTCCTACCATGCTACTCCATTTCCCTCCTCAACACTGGCCCCAGGGACACATGACCAAGTGCTGCATTCCAGTCAGGCCCTCGAGAAATAGCTTGTCACCTAGTCCAGAAAGGTAATTACTAACATAATTATCAAAACCTTTTCTTTTTTCGGGGCTAAGTCAAGCATCTCTGTAGGAAAGCTGTCCTTCTGGCTGGTTTGTTCGCTAGCTGACATGTAATTAGCTCTTAGGCATCATGCAGGGTCCCCACCCCTGACATTTCGAAGCTGAACACAAATATCTAAACACCTTTTTACAGAATATTTTTCTCAAATGCCAAAATTTACCCAGAAAATTTAGACTAAAACAAAGCCATAAAACGATTTACCCTCAAGCTTTCCATACTCAATGCTAGTGTTTTGGTTTGGATACAGGGTCTCATGTACAGGATGGCCTCCAATTCTCTATGTGGCTGAGGATGACTTTCAACTCCTGATGCTCTTGTCTCCACTTTTTAAGGGGCTAGGATTATAGGCGTACACTGACCCATCTAGTGGATGTAGTGCTGGGAACTGAACTTGGAGCTTCCTGCATGCTAGGCAAGCACCCTTATCAACATCCCTGGCCCCTTGAGGCTGTCTTCTAAATGACTTTGCAATCACATGACACACATTAAGCCACTGTTTCTTCTGTGGAATATCTTTACAGCTTTGGGTAGGTTATTGATTCTCAAAGCTACTAATACATGCTGATGTCCTTACCGCTTTGGGTAGGTTATTCTTTCTCAAAGCTACCTCTCAGTTGTCTTTTCCAGGGCAACCTAGGAACACAGAGCACAGCTCCTCCAAGCCCTCAGGCCGGAAGCTGTTGTGACAGGTAAACATGCAGGTGGTGATATATGGTTTGTTTGAAGGAAGGACTAAAAATCTAGAAATATACTTAAAATTGAGATGGAATTAAAAAAAAAGTGGGGGGTGTGCTTAGAGCTGTACAAGACAATGAATTGCCATTTGTCTAAACCATGACAAGCTAATCACTGAGAAAGGCAACTCCGAGCAAGATGCTGGCATTGGATGTGTGGCCTGAAGAGTGGATGAACCTGGAACGCATCTAACATGGATTTCTAGGCTCTGGAGCTGTGGGAATGGCACCTACAAAGCCATTTGATATCCTGACCACCAGCAGCTCCAACAATAATCATCTTTACTTCTCTGACTTGCCTAGAATTTCAATGAAAGAAGACGTGAATGTGCCCCTCTGGAATCCTACTGATCTCTCTAACCACAGTTTAAAAATGAACAGTCAAATCCCCAGCCTGGTTCAAATTAGCTCCCATCAATTTTACCCACTACCACCTTTGATGGGAACTAATTAAGCTCCTGTGATTTTTTTTTCCCCTAGACTGTCTTTTTCTGCTCTGGAAGAGAGCACATCAAATTAGGCCCATCTGTCTAAACAGGAAGAATGCTACTTATCCCACTGACAGGCTTCTTTTCCTACTGAGAAGTAGCCTTAGGGGGTTACCAAATGCCATGGGGAACTACGGTAACCCCAAATCTACACAAGCTAGAATTCTGAGAAGAGCAGTCTAGTGCTGTGTCAGCCATCATCGTCTAGTGGTTCACAGTCATCATTTCCCTGCACAATGAGATGTCGGGGAAAACTGCACACTGTGCTGTGAGACGACCACTCATCCCAGCTCCAAATGACAAGGATCAAGAATTAAGGGTTGGGCCTCGAGCTCAATGGTACAGCACTTGCTTAGCATGTGCCATGGACCTGGATTCATTCATTGTGAAAACAAAACAAAACAAAAAATCAACACTAGCAGGGCAGTGATGTACCTAAGTGACGGAGTGCTCGCCTAGCATGTATGAAGTTCTCGGTTCCATCCCCAGCAATACCTAAACCCAGCTACAGGTCTATAATCTCAGCAATTGAAAAGTAGAGGCAGAGCCAGGTGGTGGTGGCGCACACACCTTTAATCCCAGCACTTGGGAGGCAGAGGCAGGCAGATCTCTGAGTTTGAGGCCAGCCTGGTCTACAGAGCAAGTTCCAGGACAGGCTCCAAAGCTACACAGAGGAACCCTATCTCAAAAAACCAAAAGAAGAAGAGGAGGAGGAGGAGGAGGAGGAGGAGGAGGAGGAGGAGGAGGAGGAGGAGGAAGAGGAGGAGGAGAAGGAGAAGGAGAAGGAGAAGGAGAAGGAGAAGGAGAAGGAGAAGGAGAAGGAGAAGGAGAAGGAGAAGAAGAAGAAGAAGAAGAAGAAGAAGAAGAAGAAGAAGAAGAAGAAGAAGAAGAAGAAGAAGAAGAAGAAGAAGAAGAAGAAGAAGAAGAAAAGTAGAGGCAGGGGATCAGAAGTTCAGGATCATTTCTTCCTAGTTAGTAAGCTCAAGGTTAAGATACATAAAACTCCGTCTCAAAAACTAAATTGGGCATGGAGATGGCTCAGGGGGTAAAGGAGCTTGTCACCAAGCCTGACAACCAGCATTTGATCCCCAGGATCAAGGGAGAAAGAAAGATTTCTCGGCTATTCACACAGACAAGAGGACAAAGTGAAGAGGAGCCAATGCCTTGGCAACGGTGATGCCCATGTGCCATACTGGTCATGGTATTAGTCTCCTGAGACAGTACTTTTCTGCCTCCAGCTGACGTAGCCCAGTCTCAGTTAACTTTATTTAGCTAATACACAGCCTTACAAATCACTAAAGCAATGCATAGGAAGGAAAGTGTAAAATGAAAGCTGGCAAAATGACTCAAAAAAGCACTTGTCACCAAGCCTGTCACACACACACACACACACACACACACACACACACACACACACACACACCCCAGTTTCAAACAAATCCATACTTTTCAAAAATGTTTAAGGTAGAGGATGCCATTCTTCAAGAACAGGTTCATACAGCTCCCTAAGATAAGAAAGTGTTGAAAATGAGCTGTTTAGGGATGGAGATGCAGCTCAGGCAGTAGAGTGGCTGGCTGTAAAGCATGGAGCCCTGGGTTCTAGGCCCTGCACCATGACGTATGTCTATAATCCCAGCACCAGACAAGCAGAGACAGGAGAATCAAAGGTTTATGGGCGTCCTCGAATATACCAAATTTGAGGCCAACGGGGGCTATATGAGATTATTTAAACCTAGAGGGAGGAGACTGTGGGACTGAATCCCTGGTTCTGACCTCCCCCTCCGATGGAGGTCCTGGGTCCTGGGATAAGTACTGAGTCCTGGGATCAAACAACTGAGATGCACGAAACTAAACTGGATTCAGTTTAAACTGGTAGAGGTAAGGGATGGGAAATGTGTTTTCCTGGCAGTGTGCAGCTCAGAACCACCAGTGCATAGTCAGACACAGGGCTCCACTAACTTCACAGGCAGATGTTTACACGTCAGACAAATGATTTCAACATCCTTAAGTTAGAGGAGATAGTATCTAGAAAGATAATGGCTGCAAAGACATCCCAACAACACCAGAGAACCGCAATAAAGTGTTAAGCGAAGAAGTAAGAAGCGATTTTTTTTCAAATATTATCCAAGATTGCCTTACAGATTTTTTAATGTTCGGGCAAATCTTGAAACTCACATGAAACCCCTTATTGCCAGGGGGAGAAGTTATGAATGACTTCTGGCTTCTTTAAACCTCATTTTACTTCTCAAAGGCTCACTGGCAGAGAATTTCCCCTAACACATACAAGGCTCTAGGTTCAATCCCCAGCACCCATGGGTGGTGGGGGTGGGGGTGGGGAGGGGCAACCAGAAAGAAACGAGGAAAAAAATGAAGTGAAGAATTTTGCCTTGGCAAGTCCTCAGCTGTCAGTCAATAAAAAACACACTAGCAACTGGCCAACAATAGAAATATCCTTTCCCTTTAAGATTAAAAAGAAGAAAGGTCTAGCCTTTCAATGACTGCACAAGTTTGGTCAAGACTCAATCAAAAGAGCAGGGTTGGTCTTCTGGGCATCTGGGCATCTGGCTTCTCACCACACCTAGCCAGTAGCCGACAGACTGAGCCTCCTGTAAGAAGGACCAAGGGGCTGTAGGACCAGGAGCGTCCATGAGAACCCGCCTACTCAACAGTAGCCATTTCCCACAGCCACACACTCACCACATCCAGGTCCTGGGAAACTCGTCGTTTGCGAAGCTCCTCCATCCGCTCGCAAACATCAGAGAAGCAGGTATTGTAATAGTCTGCATACTGTTGTGCCAGATCATCGATGTTTCCCAGGGAGCCATCCTGAGGGGAGGAAGCAAGCGGGAAAAGACAGACGTCAGCTGAGGCTACTTTGGCAAAGCCACACAGCATCAAATCCCCTGCTGCCGAGTGTTATAGAAACAACGGCTGACATCCATTACCTCGCTGACACGGGCCAGGCTAGGTTTTACATGTGCGATCGAATTCCCTCGGAAATGGGACCAGTTCTTTTCCTTACTGTATTTTTGGGTAAACTAGCTCAGAGCACATGAATAGATCCCAGGGCTAACAAGAAGCCAGGTCTCTCTTTGGATCTACTGGGACCAAAGCCTAGGAACCCACTCATCCCTGTCTAGCATGGCTGAGGGCAGATACACCAGGAAAGGAAGCGTGGTTAGCAGTCACTATAACAGGCCCACGGACACCCAACCGTCGCCATGGCTGCTTGGCATTTCCCAGAAAGCTACTGAAAGACCCAGATGTCCGAAACTCTGAGAGAATCCTGCGACTCCAGAATTCATGGGAAGGGGCTACGTCCAGAGCACACTAGGTCCCCTCACAAAGAGACAGAAAAATAGAAAGCCTTTAAGGCATTTGTGTTTGCTCGGAATCATTATTCATGATTGTTGTCATTAATATTCATGTTATTCATTAGATTTATTATTCATCAGACATTCAGGCACCAGAGCACACGGCACAAGTTCCCCTAAATAAATAAGTAAACATGTCACTTGTCTCTTACCGAGCGAGGCAGGTTCCCAGGTAGTGCTATGAGTTTACACTCATTTCTGTGATCTCTCAATTACCTAGCCTGGAGCTCATTTCTCAACCTCTTGGTGACACTGGGTTAATGACAGCACCCACCAGACAGTGAGCAGGGACGGAGCACTGCCTCTGAACACGCCACTGCCTGGCACACGGCAAATGTGCAATACTGTCTTACCCAGTGCCATTCACTCTAAGAGGTAATCACATTGCAGTCTGCCTCGAGGCTAGAGGCTAGCGGGTTCCCAGAAGCACATGTCCGAACACGCACACAGAGGGTGACCGGGAACACTGTGTGTGTTTGGACTATGCATTTCTTCTATCACGTCTTCCATCCAGAAGATACCCCCCCTTCTCTGTTTCTTTACCTCCCACATGTCTTCCCTAATTTGGTAAATAGGTGACTTGACCGGCAGAGCCAAGAATGTGATTTTGTTAAGGCAGCCATGGAAAACACAACTTAGAGATGACGTAAAATTCATACCCAACTATCCACACTGCAGACTGGTCATCAGCCCCTTGGTTGTTAACGTTAGTGCATTGCCTGTATCAACAGATCTCTCCCAGCAAAGCCGCCTTACAGATAGCAGAATTGGGGTTAAATGTCTCCTGAAGCCTTTCTGCTACAGCTTAAGCCCTAGTCAGGAGGTCTAAGGCAGGGCTAATGACCATCTCCTCCAACTTCTGCATTTTTTTTGATTTTAGGAACTAAGGGAGGGAAGAAACAGAAACTGCAATAAATGGTTTTCTAGAAATGTCCCTTCCTTTCGACCACTAACACGTTCTGCCTTGGAGGGAACTGTCTCGGAGTTCCTAGCACACAGGGTGGAAAGAGGGAGAGATGCAAACAAAGCCAGTAAGGTCTGGGAGCATTTGAACATGTCTGGGCAAAAGATATTCTCCAAATACAGGTCAGCCTGTCTGGAAAACACGGGCTAGACACAGCAGGAGAGGAGGGAGTCCGCCATCTGCGCTCCCGGTTGACGGTAAGGTGAAGACCTGGGCGAAGACAAGCACGTGCCCTTCTCAACGGGTCTGCTGTCTGACTCGGTGGCATGCGTCAGATCCCCAATTCCCACAACAACCAGGCCTCTAGAGAACACTGGGTTCCTCCGTTTCTAGGTCTTTCCACATTGTGATGCTCTCCTCACCCAGAAATTTCTGTCTTCACCCACCCTGGAAACAACACGTTTGTCAGAGAAGACCAAACACACCAGTCCCATCTTCTAAAAGACCCAAGTGGGCTCACTGAACGTGTCATACTTCATATGTATCCCTTTGCCTGCTGTTCGAGTGTGTGTGTGTGTGTGTGTGTGTGTGTGTGTGTGTGTGTGTGTCTGTCTGTCTGTCTGTCTGTCTGTCTGCCAGCCTGTTTGTAAGTTCATACAGTGTCCATTGAGGCCAGAACAGGTATTAGATTCCCTGTACCTAGAGTGACAGACAGTTTTGCATCATTGTGTGGGTGCTGGAAACCACCCTTGGGTCCTCTGCAAGAACAGTAAGTGCTCTTAACTCTGAGCCATCTCTCCAGCTCTTGTCTACTGATTTTGAACAAAAACAACAAATCAATCCCCCTCTCTCACATATACCTAAACACTCCAAATAGATTTCCAACTTCACACACACACACACACACACACACACACACACACACACACACACAGCATTTTGTGGTGAGTGTGGTTCAGCAGGTAGAGTACTTGCCTACTATACACAGAGTCCTAGGTTTGATCCACAGAACCACATAAACAGGGTCCAGTGGAATAGTTCTCAACCTGTGGGTCACGACCCCTCTGGGGTGAAGGTTGAACATCTCCTTCACAGAGGTCGCCTAAGACCACCCTGCATATCCAATATCTACATTGCAATTTGTAACAGTAGAAAAATTACAGTTATGAAGTAGCAATGAAAATAATTTTGTGGTTGGGGGTCACCACAACATGAGGAACTGTATTAAAGGGTCATAGCATTAGGAAAGGTTAAGAACCACTGGTTCAGTGCTTCATGCCTGTAATTTCAGCACTTACGACATGGAGGACAGGACGATCAGAAGTTCAAGACCATCCTCAGCTACATTGCTAGTTGGAGACTAGCCTGGGATACATGAGACCCTGTCTCAAACAAACAAAACAGATACTCGGGTACAACTTTCCCCATTTGTAAACTACAGAACCAATCACGACTGACTGTTTTCTTGGATTGATCCAGGACACCTGAAAACATTAAAAGACAATCACTTACATAACTAGATTCAAACTATGCTTTTTTTTTCACTCTCATATGTCCTATGGGCATTCAGTATCACCTATTTGGTTATGAAGCTTCGACTACTGGCCGGTTGCTCATATCAGCCCAACAGTTGGCTTTTTAGCTTCATTCTGCCTCGCTCAGAACTCCCCTGGTACCCTGGCCTTAAAAAAACCATTATCTGTTGCTCCTGAGGAAGCAAACATCTGTTCTGCTCCAATCAGGCCACAGCCAGCCCATATTTCACACCTTCAACATGGCCATGTGGCCATTTCTCATTTGTGGCTCAGTGGGTAAGAATTTAAAGTGGGGTAGCACAGCTGTCTTTACGAGCACCCAAATCACTTTCCAGATGTGCAGTGAGTCCCTATAATGACTACCTTCATGTGTCCTGATGATTTAAATGCCAAAATGGCGAAAGACTACAAGAATGTGTGTTTCAAAAGTAGGTCTTGTCTGCCATATCCACAAAATTGTCTTTTATGTCCCAATCAAATAGAACCATGAAAAGACCTGGTGATTTTCTCTTTATCCACTCAAGCTCTAAGCTCTTAAAAAAAATGAAGCTAGTAATAATGATGGAGGGAGGAGACCCTGGGCAATGATGAATTTTATGGTCTTGATGACAGCGAAGCTTTCTGTGGGAAGCCTGGTCTCCAAACTCATCCAGGTGTATGCATTAAGTATGCAAAGCTTTTTATGGGACCATCATCTCAAAATCTGTTCTCTTCTGGGCACTGTTTTTGGGTGGTGGGGGTTGGGGGAGTAAATTTATGCTCTTACCTAACTTGCTCTTGTTTGAGACGGATACAGAGCTACTGCAGGAAAACATTGACTCCCACGAAGTATTTGCAACCAGCGTCTATAGGGGAATTTGACTAATGCTGCTGATCTGCTGCTCCACACCACATCTTGCTTTCTGTCTCAGTTTTTGAAGACGGGGTCTTGCTAGGTAGCCTGCCTGGGCTGACCTCAAGCAACACAGCCATCATGCTGCCTCAGCCTCCTCAGTGCTGGAATTCCAGGTGTGAGCCAACACACCCAGCCTGCATCTTTCTCCCCAGAAGACTCCCATCAAGGGGCACTGGCAATATAGATAACCTTCTAACAAAAATGTGACTAAATCATGTCTACAATTGCCATCATAAATATCATTCAGAAGACACTGAGACATTCTTTTTTTTTTATTTTAAAGTATTCAGTGCTGGGGAGAGACAAGAGAGGAGTCAATGAGCACTCGCTGCTCTTGCAGAGAACCTGAGTTCAGTTCCCAGCACCCCCATCAGGAGGCTCACGACTGACTACATCTCCAGCTCCAAAGGAGGGAGCTGACACCTCGGGCCTCTTCTGGCACCTACACTCGCATGTACAGACCTCCACACACACATATTTTTAATTAAGTATTCAGTTTCTGTTCTAGAATTTATTAGCTGCCTAATCTGTTTCACTTCCTTGTTTTGCCTTTTTTCTTTCTGTTTCTCATAAATTACACTCACCCAGTATACAGCCTGAATTTAGGAAGAAAATAAATTCATTTCCTTAAAAGACTGTTTAAGCAGATTGTTCAAGTTTGAGTCATATTATCTTCCTATAAGAATTTTTTCCCATTCTGTCTTTATAAACAAGAAAAAAAGGCTACAAGCAAGTCCAACTTCTCTGCCCACACTACAGAAGTAATACAGAGTCCATGCCTGTCACCACCATGCGTCCCATCTGTGTGAATGAAATCTGTGACACACCATCACGGTCAGTTCCGTGGGTGACAAACCGGAACATCCCCCTGAGGCCACAAAGCACATTTATATCTCATCCTCATCTTACACTGAGCCAGCATAAAAATACCAGGACAAAGGACTTTGAACAAACAGTTCAGATCCAACGGACTGCTGCTGTGATTCAGGGAAAAGAACAGCTCTGCTCTCTCAACAACTGTTTCAACAGTATTTCTCAGATTTATCCCAACATGCTTTCTGTCTCTGGAAAATGTAACACTGAAGTTCTAGGAAAATAGAAGCCATACATACAGCTAC